ACATTGATAATAATCAGAAATGTTTCTTGAGCAGCAGATCAGGATCATGTGATCATGAAGACTGGAGTAAGGATGCTGAAAATTCAGCTTTGACAGTTTTTCACATCAAAGACAGTTTTTTAAAATTATAATATTATTTCACAATTTTTAAAGCATTTTGATCAAATAAATGCAAAAAATTAAAAATCGTACTAATCCGAAACTTTCGAGTATTAGTAGCTGAATACTGCTGCTAATCACTGCAGTTTTTAATGCAGTATTTTTGTGTTACTTGATACAATAGTAATATAATACAATAGTATATTGTGTTAATTTACATGTTCAAATTCAAATCTGAGGTCATTGTTTTTGTAGCATGAAAACAGACCACTTCTGCTTTTTTACAAATACTGTAATCTAAGAAATGTCTGTATGATATTGTTGTCCTAAATAGCTTCAGTGTAGTTATCTGCCTGTTGTTTGTAGTGCAGATAACTAAATTTTCAGCCTCGGTGTTGTTTAATTACTTGAAATAAGTAGCTTAACATGCTAGTTTCAGAAAAACTGCTCCAAAAATAGTTGCTGAGATCACAAAGACAGAAGTGGAGAGATCAGTCATCAACCACAAAACCAGATGAAGACGAGTGTCACTGCAGAGCAACAACACAAAGCGCTTTTCAGAGAAACCCATGTGGTTCTGGTGGAGGAACACACTCAAATAAAGCCGTAACCTCTATCTCCCGCATGGAGCTGTAGTGTTACTCTCAGCCGGGTGTAAACTAGCATACGCGATCATGTGAGTGAAGCTCACTGACCCTGACGTGACCTTTGACCCCGGGCTGCACTGACCTCACATGAATCACAGCACCTTTGGCAGACAGACAGACCGGACCCTAATCACAGGGTCAGAGCACAAACTAACATAATACATATATAACAAAAAATCTATTATATATATATATATATATATATATATAAAAAAAGTGAATTAAAAAGTACTAAAACGTATATATACACATTCAATAATAAATGCAAAAAATATATATTTTTTAAATTAAAAATAACAATAATATATAACTAAATTATATTTTATACATATTTTTATTTACATTTTATATTTATATTCTGTATTACATTTTTATATTTATTTTTTATAAAATACATAGATTCTTTTATCTTTACATATAGAATTTATAATTACATTTTAAAGTTTTTTCTTGAATTATGTAATTGATTTATATACAATATTATGTTATAAATATATTAATAAATATAGATATATTTAAAATTATAATATATATATATATATATATATATATATATTTATAATCAACATTATTATTTTCATTATTTTAATAAATTTGTCATTTTAATAATTATTTTATTTTAATTTTATTATTTAAATATCAAGTAATGGTAAAAACTGTATCATACTTGAACAGAATCTTTGTTAAAATGTATTGTAAAATGTACAAAATTATATATGTATTTTTAATCATATTAAAATATGAACAAATATAAAAAATATTATTTTAAATTAAATTATTTAAAATAATAAGTAGATAATAACAAACAAATAATATATTTATACTTTCATATAAAAAAAGCATTAAATTACATTATAATTTGTAACAAAAATGCGTGTTAAAAATGTATATTAAAAAATGTAAACAATTTATATACTTTCCTTGAACCCATTTGTAACTGCAGATTGTTGAAAGAGTAATAAATCAAACTGTCCATCTACAGATGCGTTCATCAGGAGAAGTGAGAACGTGGCCTCACTGAATCAAGCATCTGATCCAAGTGAAACCGGAGCTGAAGGGCCCCGGGGTCCTTTATAAGGGCACAGAAGCGGCGCACCTGGCACTGCTCGTGTAGCAAATGTGCTGCTGATGACCAGAGCGCTGTGTGACAGTTTTGGGAACAGCATGCATTGGATATCAATCCAAGATGTGTCCTGAGAAAACTGCTACAGTCCTGAATTCATAACAGAGCTTTAAAGAGCGTCAGCCTGTCTCAGCCAATCAGAAACACCCTGGGCCTGTCAATCATTTTACTCAATATGACTACAAAGGGAGTTTCTGTCAATAGGGAACAACAAACATGGCTGACAAAGATATTTTGAGAAATGCGCTTAACACTTTATTTTAAAGTGTCCATGTTACATGCACTTACTATAGTAATAACAGTAAAGTATGCATAATTACATGCAACTAAACCAAACCAAACCCTAACCTTACAGTAATTATGCACTGTTAATATTACTCCGTATTAAAGCATAGACTTACACTGCAACACGCACCAGGGTTATATTAGTATTTTTATATACTATTATAGTTTTATTATTATCTTGAATTAGCTATTTTTATATTTCCAGTTTTCATTTTTAGTAAGTTTGATATGCATTTGTCCTTTTTATTTTTCAAATAAAAAATTTAAATATTTCTTTTTAGGTTCAATTATAAATATTTGCTTTTAGGTTTAACTTGTTTTATTTCAGCTTTAGTGCAGATTAACTGATTGATTGATTGATTTCAGTTTATTTTAATGCTTCTTTTTATATTTTCAGTTGTCAATTTAATTCTTAGTGATTTTGTTATGTCTTTTTGTCTTTTTTATTTTTATTATTACTTTTAAATACTTCTGTTTAGGTTTGAGGTCTGTCTAAGTTTCATTTATTCTTATTTTAGTTTTAGTTCACTTTTATTTTTATTTTAATGCTTCCGTTTTTAATATTTTCAGTTTTTATTTTAATTTGTATTAATTTTGTGTTTCATTGTATTATTATTATTTAAATATTTAAATTTAAATATTTATATTTTAATACTTACATTACATGTATTATTTTATTATTATTATTATCTTTACATTTCCAGTTAGACATTTTAATGCTTCAACTTATTATGGTTAGTTGAAACATTACATTTTTCATTTAAATTTAATTTAATAATAATAATTTTATGTATATATATATATATATATATACACACATACACATATTTATTTATTTAAGATATGAATATTAGTTAATGATAACAACCCTGAGAAGGATACCTTAAAATAACCATGTTTATTATGCACACAATGCAAGTCAAGTCCCCACCAAAGATGAGTAAATAATGCTAATTTAAACGGATGATTCACGCAAAAATCCAGAATTCTGCAAGCCTTTGTGAATACCGAGCTAATTAGAGTCTGAATGACTTCATCAGCGCACGAGTCACATGATCTCAGTGATTCTACTGAGTTTTATATAATCAGCAAACAATCATCATCAGAGGAGCCTGGTTCAGCCTCATTCAGAATAAAACAGCTGCTTGTATCGCCGCCTGATTGTTTCTGTTAGAGAGTGTCGTCTGCGCGTCTGACTCAAGGTCTCTGTTGGCCCTCAGACAAAACAGAAGAAATCTTGTGCACAAAGGCCGTGACATTTAAGACTGACTTGAAAGCCAAGAACTCCTTGGAAACACGAAAAGTCACACCGCACAAACTCTACAACCCCTGCGCAGGCCTCAGCTCAACTGTGCTCTTCTACACAGGCCGCCTGCTGCCGAAGCCGTTTCACCGTTAGCACAAACTAATCAAATAACACCAGCACATGTCAGTCTTCAATGAAAAGCTGATCTGACTCTGGGAGCTGCAGGAGTGTTGTGTGTTTATAGCGCCGCCGGTGGCCACATGCTGTAACTGCGGCTTTTGCAAGCTCACTGCACTGCATCAGGTAATATTCCACTGGCTTTGCTCGCCCCTCCCTCACTGTGTGGGGGCGGGGCTTGAGCGAAAGAAGCTCTCCATCGCCCTCTGCCTGTCACATGACAGAAACATACATTCTTCATTTAACAAATCAGTGTTATTTTAGTGTCTCTGATACACTATTGTAGTTTGTTAACATTTAGAATGGGATTTTATTTTCTGTTTTTATTTAAGGTTTTAATTTTGTTGCGTGTTTTTGTCATTTTTATATTTTTTGTTATTTAATACATCAAGTTAGATTAAAAATGAGAAATGCTGCCTTAGCAACTAGCTTAGTTTAAGCGTTAATATATTTCATTTCAGTTAACGTTTATTTTATTTCAAGTAATGTTATGGTTTTAGTATCATTGATGTACTATAGTTTGCTAATATTTTTAATTAGATTTTATTTTTCTAGTTTCTGTCATTTTTATTCGTTTTTGTCTGTTTTTAAAGTTTATATATATTTCAATTATTTTAATTAATACATTTTATTTGTTTTTTAAATTTGTCTTATTATTTATTTTAGTACATCAAGTTAAATTAAAAATGAGAAACTAGCTGAAATAAAATAAGTTTAGGTGTTTTTATGTTTTATTTCAGTTAACGTTCATTTTATTTGTTATGTATTTTTTAATGGCTTTAGTATCATTGATTACATTATGTTTTTATGTTTTCACTTAAATTTTCTTGTTTAAAAATGTTGTTATTTGTTGTTTTAGTTATTTTCGTACATAAAGTTGCACTAAACTTGTCAACTAGCTGAAACAAAATAAGTTTTTTTGTCACTTAACATTGTTTTGTTTTCATTTTCAAGTAATTATTTTTTTTATGGTTTTAGTTTTAGTTGGACCAATCCATCCATCCAACTCTTTATTTTCTGTGCGGAATCACGGTTGAAATGTGCAGAATATGATCAAATGTGTTTAAAAGAGTTGAAAGTACTAGCAGTTGCCCGATATTTCAATAGTTGTTGCTGGTACTGATATCTAATAAACAGGGTGACTGAAGGCCAATATGATACTGATTAATAAGGTGGCATTAATTAATGGAAACAAAAAAAACATGCACTAAAATTGTGGAAATGAACTAACCACTTATATTACAAAATATTTTTTTCCGAGAAGGCTGCCAAAACTAATCATCTTAATAGAGCAGCGCCATCTGGTGGACATTTACAACCTCAATAAGAGGACACGAATACAACAACATAACGCTTTTCAAAGTGTATGGAAATGAAGGACAGAGACACACAGCATGTTCACAGGGTGTGTTTAGTTACTCACAGGGAACAGCACTATGGGAACGGTCAGCGTCACGGCCGTCAGCACAGCCAAACGCACCAGCAGAAGCATCGTGTCAAACTTGTAGACCTTTGTGAAGGTGTGAAGCAGCTCTGCCTCGACGTGATCTGACACACAGACAAGACAGATGTCGTGGTGGAAGAGCGCTGAAGGTGTGTATGAGAAGAGTGTGTTTGTAACGTACCATAAAACGTCAGGTAACCAAACAGAGCGGAGAGCAGGTACATCACCAGCATGGCCAGGATGGACAGGTTTGACACCGTCTGCATCTTCCTCCGAGAGCGACTGAGGAACACGAGGAGTCATGTGAGTGAACGACAACAGAGACAGCTTTAGAAAATATTTGTGACCCTGGAGCAAAAAAGCAGTGTTAAGTCGCTGGGGGATATTTGTAGCAATAGCCAACAATACATTGTATGGGTCAAAATTATACATTTTTCTTTTATGCCAAAAATCATATTCTACTGTAAATATATCAAAACGTCATTTTTTATTAGTAATATGCATTGCTAAGGACTTCATTTGTTCAACTTTAAAGATGATTTTCTCAATATTTAGATTTTTTTGCACCCTCAGATTCCAGATTTTCAAATAGTTGTATCTCAGCCAAATATTGTCCTATACTAACAAACCATACATCAATGGAAAGATTATTTATTCTAAATATATGTCCTGGTGGTCATCAGGGTGAGGTGTAAACTGGACGGCGCTGTGGAGAGGGTCGAGCACCGGAGCGTGAGGATCCGGCTGAGCGTCAGAGATATACGCCAGAGCCGAGGCGTTCTGCAGCGAGTACAGACCCAGAGCCTCCGAGCCGTTCACGCTCATGTTGGACTCGTGCTGGTAGAAGAACGGCAGAGGACAGGGCAGGATCGTCTTCTTATAGATCAGCTGAGAACGAAACCAATGCACCAGAGAGCGAGCGTCACCAAACAATGCAGCAAGAAATAGTCCAACCGAAAGAGAAAGTCCTGTCATCGTTTATGTCTCCAGAGAATAAAAGTTACTCAAGTTAGCATCATCTAAAACTAAAAGCATTAAAAAAAATAAAATTTTTGTTACTTGAAATAAAATAAATGTTAATGAAATAAAATATAATAAACTTTTTTTAAAGTTTAGTTTGATGTTCTCAAAATAACTACAACTAAAATAAAAAGTACTACAAATACATAGACATAATAAAACACGAAAAATAATTTTAAAAAACTAAAATGTTAACTAAAATGTTATTAAAGGTTTTGAACTAATTATAGTTTACTAAAACTCAAAACATATTTTACTAAAGCTAAAAACAAATTTTCGTTGTAAAAATATAACAAATTAACTAAAATAACTTGTATATTTATATAGAAAAACTACCGGTACTACAATGAAAAAAACAACAACAAAATGACTAAAATGTTAACTAAAATAAGTGATTGATGGTTTTAAACAGGGTTATTATAGTTAACTAAAAGCATAAAAATTATTTTCATTACTAGAAATAAAATAAAATAACCTTTCGATTTATTTTAAATTAGTGTAACTTGATGTAATAAAATAAGTAAAATAAAAATAAAAACGTTCATAGACATTAAAAAACTATTAAAAAATACTAAAATGTCAACCAAAATGAACATAAAAAAATATCAAAACAAAAACATTAATAAAAACTATAATAGTGAAGTTTGTTCTGTCATGCTTTGCACTAAAAAAGTTCAATAAATATACTTTATTTAAAAAAAAACAAAAAAAATAACATAATAGTATCTCAATAATAGTAAATGAGCACTGCTTTGGAACAGAATGAGAGTCAATGATTTTCACTTTTACTGAACTATTCTTACTCACACAGAAATGTTGTAACCTCATATGTGACCCTGGAGCACAAAACCAGTCATAAGGGTCAATTTTTCAAAATTGAGATTTAGACACCATCTGAAAGCTGAATAAATAATCTTTCCATTGATGTATGGTTTGTTATATGTCATATGTCATGTCAATATTTGTTCGAGATACAACTATTAGAAAATCTGGAATCTGAGGGTGCAAAAAAATCTAAATATTGAGAAAATCATCTTTAAAGTTGTCCAAATGAAGTTCTTAGCAATGCATATTACTAATCAAAAATGAACTTTTGATATATTTACGGTAGGAAATTTACAAAATATCTTCATGGAACATGATCTTTACTTAATATCCTAATGATTTTTGGCATAAAAGAAAAATCAATAATTTTGACCCATACAATGTATTGTTGGCTATTGCTACAAATATACCCCAGCGACTTAACACTGCTTTTGTGCTCCAGGGTCACATATGGCATGTAAAGCTGCTATTAAACATTCACAGTAAATGAAGAGAAAACGTACCACTCCCAGAAAGAACACCATGCACGAGAGAGAGAAGCCGCTGGTGTACCCCAGATACCCTGATGTGAGAGACGACAACGAGAGTTACACACGCTTCACAAACTCCACCGCTCTCACACTTACAGCAAAGTCTTACCCAGGTTCTTCAGCAGAGACAGCGGCAGAATGATGCCGATGGACACCAACACCACCGCGTAATTCCCGTTCATATACCATTCCCTGAGTACACAGAGAACGAGCACATGACACCATACAATATGATATTTGCTGATATCTCAAAACATGCTGCAATACGACTGATTCAGGCCTGTGATTATATTGATATCATGCTTTTTATTTCTATAGCGCTTTCTACATCATAGATTGTTTCAAAGCTGCTTCAGTAAAAAAGCACTGTTCTAAAATGTCAAAGATTATAAAATGATTCAGTTTCAGCTCTTAAGAAGCTCTACAAAAGACAAAAGTGTCATAATTCAGTATTTTGTCTTATTTTCCGATACAAATATCTAAGCATCCTTAAATCAAGATGCATTTACATGAGAAGCAAAACAAGATCAGATATTAAATCCTGTTTTCTTAGAAATACATCCGAACTGAGTGAGTTTATGATTAAAACAAGATTTTTTTTAATATCTGCCAATGGGGTCAGAAACATATTTAAGCATAAATTAGTTTAGTTAATTCTGATACATTTTTCAGAACACAAGCCGTAATATGTTTAAATTGAATATATTTATTAAAATATATTCTAAAGTGTAACAATAATACATATACAAATTAAATTATTATAATCCATTTAAAATAAATATAAAAATGTAAATATAAATTTTTGTTAAAAAAAAAATATATATATCTTAAATACATGTATCGATTTTTTTTTACACGTTTGATTGATGCTTCGATCCATATTTCTCTCCAATCAATCACAGACACTCACACTGCTACAAATTTCCATCATAAATCAGTTATTATGCTTTTATCTACAGACATTAAACATCACTGAGTCTTACCCAGAGTTCTCCTCCAGCCGCAGAAAAGCTCGAATCACCTCCGGCAGCTCGTATTTGACTATGAACAGGTAGCTGGACATGGCTGAAGACGAGCCAAACACATTAATATCACATCACTCGCGCTAAAACTAAAGACTCAAGCTACTTTTAAATATAGCATCATTACCTCCTATATTCTGCAGAGTTATTGATCCGAAAGCTGCCATTTTTCCCGGCCATCCGAACGCTCTTTCCCCGAGCTTCTCGTAGATCAGCGAGCCTGGAGCCAGAGGATATTATAGCATCAAATGCACGTTTCATATATTACTGTGTGTTTACGATCTCTGGACAAGCTCACCTCCTTCTTTGGCCGTCATTAGTAACAGATGAACAGAGTACAGCGACAGGATAGCGACTCCAAGCAGGAGGATGCTAGAAAACCAGAAGGAAACATTAGAAACTCTTCCCATCATGTGTGCAAATACATAGAGCTACCCAGCTAATAGGGAACGTTCTCACAACGGTTTTTAAATGTTACAACTAAACATTCTTAACGTTTATGGAACATTCTTGTAACTTTATTAGTATCTGATATGTTCTCATTACGTTTAGAGATCAACATTCTCGGAATGTTCTTATGATGTTTTTTGTATTAGATGAATATTCGAAGAAACATTTTTGTAACGTTTAAATAACCTTCTAATCAAAACTGAACATTAAAATAACGCTTTAGTTTTGGGTAAAAATAAAGTTAGTAGAACGTTGTAGAATTAGTAGAACATTCTTATAACCTTTGAATAACTTTACAATCACATGAAAACTGGACATTATAATGTTTGTAGAATATCGAAAATAAATGTTTGAACAATATTATATTTTGGGTAAAAATAAAGTTAGTAGAATTGTATTAGATGAATATTCGAAGAAACATTTTTTGTAACGTTTAAATAACCTTCTAATCAAAACTGAACATTAAAATAACGCTTTAGTTTTGAGTAAAAATAAAGTTAGTAGAACGTTGTAGAAAACATTCTTATAACCTTTGAATAACTTTACAATCACATGAAAACTGGACATTATAATGTTTGTAGAATATCGAAAATAAATGTTTGAACAATATTATATTTTGGGTAAAAATAAAGTTAGTAGAATGTTGTAAGAAATGTTTTTGTAACCTTTAAATAACGTTCTAATCCCATTTTTGCACAATATTAAAAATAAAAATAAAAATTACGCTATATTTTGGGTAAAAATAAAGAATTACGGTAATAGAATGCTGTAAGAAATGTTCGTTTTGTAACCTTTAATCACATTTTAACGTTCTTAGAAAATGTTAAATATTTGTTATCTATCATGCAATCTCATATTTATTTATTTTTTTTAACAGTTTTGTACGGTCATAATTTTGTTTTCATAAAATACCATTTTGATATGTTTGTTATTTGCAGTGGTTACTATTTCTGTTTCGGTGATTTGCATTAAAACCAGTTAGGTTCAGTTTGAACCGCAAAGATCATACCAATTATTCATTTTGATAGTAGTACAAGTCAGATCACCTTATTTTGAGAGGATCGTTAGCATTAGCATGTTAGCATTAGCTCTGTGTGTGGTCAACGCACAGACACATATATGTGCAGTCTGCATTTAGAAAGCGCTTCAAAAATAAACCGCAGTTAATGTCACAGCATGTTACTTAACAGGCGATATAAGACGATCCCAGACGTGCTGAAGAACATCTGACTTACAGACGAGACTCGAAATATTGCACAACAACAGTGGATGTTAAAGTCAAAGATATGCATTGATAACATTTGCAGCTTTTCTAAAGCAAGATTTATAATTAACAGCAAATCTAGTCCACAATTCAACTTATTTTAGCCAAGAAGTGCCAGCTTGGACAGGAAGAGACCGTCTGAATGACATATAAAGCGACCCATAAAACACTGTCACGTCTAATTCATGCTCATCTTCAGTGAGACACAAACAGAGCGACAGAAAGATGGATCTCTAGAATTGGTTAATGATGGTTCGGTCACTCGACACCGGCCTCCCGGGGCTGTTCCTCCCACTTTCCACATCATTCTGAGCAGATACTCACACAAACAGTATGATGCCAGTGTTGGCCATGGCGAAGGACAATCCCAGAATTCCACTGCCCATGATGGCGTTACTGAGGTTAAAGACAGACATCCCAAATGACGTGTGACCCGGGTGCTGCGAGACAGAGACAGAGCTAACCAACAGCTCCAGAGAGAGAATATGAATATGCTAATGTGTTTCAGAACAAGGATCTTACATATTCTTCATCATATTTCTTCTTCTTCATGATGCCATTGGTGAGAAACTTCTGACTCTGTGCGTCGTCCTCATCCAGAAGTGAGCTGCAATCGACGACACAAACACGTGATTTCAAACACCATGTTAAGACATTTCACAGGTTCTGCTTGTTTGCTGTTACATGATGAATCAATGCATGGATATGTCAGCATATGACGTCATTTCCCATCAAGCTATGTGTCACAATGTTCTAGATGTGGACATCAAACAGCGTCAGGGTTAAACACACAACAGTGACTCTGACCTGCTGATGGTGGCCTTCTCCGAATCGATGGGCGTGAAGCGTTCGTCCATGCTGCTTTCATCGTCCGCCTCAGTGCTCACTTTCTTCAGCTCCATACGCTCCATGTTTACAGCTAAGGATTGTGTCTTTGGGAAAAGAACTGGAAAAAGAACCAGAGAAGTTTGGTTAGAGCTAGAATTAGGGGCAGGCGATAAAACCAAACCCTTATATCACGATATGAGCACTTTCATATCACGATAACGATATATATCACAATATAGTT